ATATGCCCCTTTCTAGAGTGGGGTTGAACCCTAGTGGACTTATGTAAGACCTTTGTGGGTCCCACACCAAACAATGTTCAAGCCTATGTGGCCTTACAACGCCTAAATTAGTGAGCTATCAAAGAAAATGGGCTTAAGGCTCATTACTAATATGATTAGTTAAGAGTTGTCAGGTAACTTGGATCGAATATGTGTATAGATCTAGATATATAGCACTCATTCTCTTAAGAAGATAATGTTTATCTAATTAAGGATAAGCCATTATCCAATTTTGATTTGGATTAATTCCTAATAGGATTAGGAGAGTGCTCTATATAAGGCAGTAAGAGGGGAGGGACAATTCATTTTGTTCTCTTCATCTTTTTGCTCTCTTCTCTTCTCCCTTTGCACCCTACAAACCCTAGTTTGAACCAACTGTGGTGGGGGGTGAAATTCATCAGTCCTCTATTGTGTTTTTGGGAAAACATCATATACACTCAAGCTCAAACTACTACAACAATTCCAAGGAAGATTGGATAGTTTTGTAGAAAAGGCATTGCTAAATTGGCTTTACTTTTGCAACTGTACCATCTGCAATTGGAGGCTGATTTGGGTCTAACATTAGGCATGACGTGTAAACTACCACTCTGAGAATTGCACACTGTAGTCTCTAAATCAAGTATGATCAGTCTTAATTTTTGTTTCAAATCTAGTCCAGTTCAGTACAAGATCGACCCATAAATTCAAAGTTTAAAAATATCAAGAAGCCAGTTCTTGGTTGGATTGGATTTTTTTTTTAATTTGGACAACAATTGTAACAGGTTAGGCTATGTTTAGTTGAGTTTCCAACTCATCCAACAGTCATTTGAGTTGACCAGTAATCTAGCTACTTTTCAATATTTAATGAACCACCGCTTCATAGACCACCTTAGGAAGTTTTTGTTTATATTCTTTGACGACATTCTAATATATAGCAAGTCCTTAAAAAAGCAATTTAAACATCTCAGAACTACTTTAGAGATCTTGCAAGAAAATCAACTATTCACCAAACCAAGTAAGTACCAATTTGTTGTTTCTACTATGGAATATCTTGGTCACCAAACCAAGTTAATCCCAGCAAGATATAGAGTATGAAGAATTAGGGCATGTTTGTTTCCTCTTAATTCTTATCTCTTAAGAGAAATCTTTTAACTTTAAGAGAAAAATGGTTGTTCGTTTCTTCTTATCTCTTATCTCTTAAAGTGCAATCATACAACTTTTTGTTTTCCAATGATACCCCAAAAAGACAAATAAAAACTCTCATATATGAGGCCAAAATGGATATTTGATCATTTTCAGAATTCAAAATTCAGAACAACATTCTCTGCATTCAGAGTTCAGAGGAAAGAAAAGTTCACCAATACCAATATACCTCTTAATGTAATTATTGTACTTTTAGATGTCAGACTTTAGAGCAAACGAACAGGCCCTTAGTCTAAACCTTAATCAACAAAGAAGCTATGTGGATTCCTAGGTCTCATAGGATATTATTGTTGATTATTCAAGTAATATGGTCATATTTAGGGGTGAGCAAAAAAAAACGAAAAACCGAACCTATCAAGAAAACCGACCGAAACCGAACCAAAAAATCGATTAACCAAACCGATCAGTTCGGTTTCGGTTAATCATTTAAAAAAACCGGTGGTTAACCGAACCGACCGATATATATATATAATATATATAATATTATATATATTATATTATATATTTTACTTTTTTTGAAAATCGAATTGAAAAGTTCCAACAAAAAGGCTAAAAGTTTGCTGACTGCCAGACTGGTGACTGCCACTCTACCAATCTGTCTCTTCAAAAATCTAAGCATTCAGCCTTTCTCTTTTTCTCTCAGTTCTCACTTTGTCTCTTCAACTTCAAATTCGAAACCTAAACCAGTAAACCTCTATCAGTATCAATTCTCAGTTCTCAGTTCTTTACTTCTCTTCTCGGTGTCTCGCATGTCATATCCACCGCATGGCTGGTGCCAACCACCAGCACCAAACGGCAATGACGCAACGCCAGTCGCTGCCTCGCCGGAAAGCAAGCACCAACACAACACCATCTATGCATCTCTCTCATCTCTCCTCTCTGCGGCTCCGCCAGGAGCCACCTCTCAAGCTCTCACCGCGACAATCGACAACCACCTCTCTCTCATCTCTCTTCTCAAGCGCTCAACGCAGGATCTGAACTGGTCCACGATGTTCCCCATTTAAAAACGAGGTCATTTCTAACCCTCCAAAACTCCCAGCAGATGACAGCGATGATCAGGTGTGTATCTTGCATCACATAAGCTAAAGATCTAGCATTTGTAAAGGCCTAAAATCAGCACATCTGAAATTCATGGAGCTAGCCAGCTAAATAGTTCTTGCAAAAACAAGAGAGTAACGGATGATTGGCACTGACAGGCGACAACAACCACCGGTCCACTGATAGTTTTAGATTTTTTTTATTTTAAGTGTATAAAAAACCGAAAAACCGAGCTGCGATTAACCAGTTGCATCGATTCAGTTTCAGTTTGGGTATTTAAAAAACCAATCAGATCGATTCAGTTTGAAAAAATACCCCACGGTTTGGTTAACCGAACCGTGAGCACCCCTAATCATATTTCCAAGCCACTCACTGAACTCCTTTAAAAGGGAAATTGTTGTTGGTCGAAAAAAGCTGAGAAACCTTTTTTAAAGCTAAAAGAAGCAATGGTTTAATCTCTTGTTCTAGCCTTACCAAATAACCAACCATTCTAGTTGGAATGTGATGCAAGTGGTGCTAGCATAGGGGTTGTTCTTAATCAAGGAGGTCGTCCCATTGCTTACTTAAGCAAGGAACTCCATGGAAGGGACTTGGACTTATCAGTTTATGATAAATAGTAGTTGGTATAGTTTTTACAATCCAATAGTGATGAGCATATCATCTTAAGCCCAAATTCACGACATTAACTGATCAATCAAAGTCTAAGCCACATTCTACAACTAAAGTTGACTACTCCAATACAACCCTAATTCTTGTCTATACTCATTGGTATGATTATGATATAAAATACATGCAAGGAAGGGAAAAATCAGCAATAAATGCCCTATCAATGTGCAACTCAACAAAACAATGTGCTATTTCCATTGTGGCACTAGATTGGATTAAAGAAATCAAAAGAGAGAGAACCACAGACCCATACTTGCAGTAGTGTATCTACCCTCCTATAATAGTGGAAATCATCAAACATGAACAAGGGAGGACTAGTATGGAGACGGGGGAAGTTGGTACTCAACCCACAATCCTAATTCAAAACGAAGCTCTTTGACAAGTCACACTCGTTTCCAGTGGGGGGGGCCATTCAGGTTACCATAATAGATAATACAATGAAAAGGACTAAATCTTATTGCTATTGGCGTGGGATGCACAAGGACATTAGAAAGTAGATTCGAGTGTGAAATCTATCAACAATAGAAGACTAAGAAAATTCCCTTACCAACTCCATTACAACCTCTACCAATACCTAATCAAGAATGGTGTGACAGATCTATAGACTTCATCAAAGGCCTACCTCCTTGCCCCCAAACCACAATTTTAGTTGTGGACTGACTGTCCAAATATGCCCATTTCATCACGCTTTCACATACCTATATAATGAAGTGGCCAAACTCTATATGGACAAGGTGTTCCAAGTTACATGGCTTACCATCAAGCATTGTGAGTGATCGAGATGTAGTCTTTATCAATTTTTTTTGGCAAGAACTCTTTAAATTACAAGACACCCAGTTATAGATGAACTCTGCCTACCATCCCCAGACAGATGGATAGACAGGTTACTAATCGGATTCTTGAATCCTAACTAAGATGTTATATCAGGTCTTAACCCAACTCTTGGTCTGGTTACTTAGCTTTGTGAGAGTGGTATTAGTACAATACGGCAAATGCATATAGCTTGGCCTTTTCAATAATAATAAACAAGCTTATTTGCAAATTATCAAACATGAGTATCAAGCTATCAATGAAACGCTTGATTATCAAGCTTATAAATACTTTAATCCTTGATCTCAACTAATTAAATGACAACCCTCAATGTGATCTATAAGAACATTACAATTTACAAGATGCACCCCATGTTACTTCCCTGACAAAAGAAAGCAAAGAGTGAGTGCTACTCTCTTATGTTATGTTTGGTTTGATAGAAAAAAATACAAGAGACAGCAAGTTGACGGAAAATTTTTGAGGAATTTCATTTAGCTTGGTAGAAAATTAGAGAGAAACATAAAGATGAGGGAAAGCTCTCGAGGAATTCTGTTTCTCGTCTTATTTTCTGTCAAAGTCAAACCAAACACAGCCTTAATGTCTCATCCAGGGCTTCTCTGTAGGCTGGCTCCAAGCTCAAGGAACACTTGTAACAAGTAACAACTCAAAATAAGGTGCCATTTGGCAAATCTTTTTAGAAAGTCCTTCCACAGCCTAAATGGACAGAAGACATTAAGCTTTTGGGGTCTTTGTCTTTAAAGACAGACTATTTGACAAACCGCTCAGTCTACTAAGCTTTTAAAAAACACGTTTAAAGACCATCTATCATGCAGAAAGACCAGAATGTTTAATTTGAAGCTTCCCAAAATTCAGCATTTTCAGTTTTCCAAGGTCTTTCCGCGCACACATCTCACCTTTCCAGCTTATGATTACCAAAACAGAAAAAAATAAAAAATAAAAAACAATTCAGTCTTCGGAGAAGCTCAAAAGACCACAAGGAAAGACTTGCTACCCAAAAATAAACGACTCATAAAATAAGCTCAAAGAATAATAAGCTTAAGGACTTTCTACAGGCACAATAAGCTCTATCACCGCGGCCAGGAGTTTGACTAGGGTGGCAACTTCTTGGGGTCTGATACATGTTGGATGGTTTGGAACTGCTTGATTCATGCACGTCTCTAAATATGGTTTTACTACCCTCTGGTTGATTTTACGCCTTCTCAGAAGCCATAGATTTTTCAGGTCTATCCCGCCCCTTCCCCAAATTATCTTCAGAATCATTCCTAACTTCATTTCCTTGAAGAATTTGTGTTAATAGAGGAAGTTTATATTTCTTAAATAAATCAAACTCATAATAAGAGAACTATAAAATAACATAAAAGCAGACCGAGAGGGATGTTGTTGGATCAATGTCTAGATTCACGAGTGCCTGCGCCTCTTGGTACTTTCAGTGTATGACTCCCAATTCCGGTGATCAAGTATGCTTAGGTCACTGAGCTCGGCTATGGCAAGCAAATACTGTGTGAGCTTCACCAGTTCCTGATCACTGTCGCGGTTCGAATGGGCTTTCCTAAAAGGCCTGATTGTCAGCCCGTTCTGTGGGTTCATCACAAAATTCCTCCGGAGGTCATCAAACATAATAGTGTTTTTTGAATTGTAAAACTGCAGATGAGGTAAAAAGATAATTAGTAGTATGTTAATTATAAAGAAACAAATGAGGACCCACCAGATATGTCTTGCAACTTACCTCTGGAAATTGAGCCCAGATAAGACCAAGTGGCTTGCAATCAAAGACCCCATGAGAATCTGACTTCACTGTAATCATGGCCATGTGATCTAGCAGAGCCGTTATTTTGTAGTTGGGATTGTTCAGTACCCCCAGCTGTCCCATCTTCAATTCAACCCACTTCATGCTGGGGAACATACACATAGGTATTCATGCATTCAGATCTACAACGCCTTGTGCAATAATAATCCGTATATAATGAGGAAACTAACTATACTCATGGCATGTTTGTATAATGGAGGTCCTATCCCCAACACATACTTGGTCACCCTTGCAAAGTAACATACTCTATTGCTTTGCAAAATTGGTAGATGTCTAAATACACAGGTTGTGGCCTTGGGGGGTTGTACAAGAATACCCCAATCAAAATTGTATTTGTCCCCTTTTACAAGAAAAACCAGAGCATGTTATGTGGTTAATGGTCTAGAGGATCCAAAATTCATCAATACCACCTATAGATAAGCTCCTATGCCAAATAAGAGAAAATCTACAGAAAAGAAACTGCTGAAATATGCAATAAATGCATTCTATAACAACACAAAATCAGAAAACCAAACATAACATAGTCCTTATTACATAAATTTGAATCTAGGACAGAGCTATGCCTCCAATGACACACCCTCTCAAAGAATTATGGCAGGAACCTGACCTGGTGGCAGACCATATGATGATATCATATTCTGCATAAACAGCAGAGAGAAACTCATGAAGATCTGCACACAATGACACACATCATAAATAAATATTAGGGGAACGAACAAAAGAAAAGAAGCTAACTATTGCCACCAAACAACCACTTACAAGGCCGCATAAGCTCAAGTGGATTCTCTGCTGTTGACCGATGATCAAACAGAGTATAATCAATATCCAGAACAAGCAGTTTCTTATCCTTCCGGCATGGATTGAGAAGTTCAATCTGTCAGGGACACATCCAATGGTCAAATATAGGCAAAGTATGACAAAGCCGTGCCTAGGTAGCATCAAATATTATCCATTTGCTCTACATCCTCCTATTCATAACATGCTAAGTATCATGTGGTGTATTATTTATCTTGTGCCATGATTGTGTTCATTTGAGGCTTCATTTGCACTAATAGTAAAAAAAATACTGTGATGTTTCTGTACTGTGCTTGTAGGTAGTGATGGCTTGTAGTGATGATGGCAGCACTTGCAGTGCTGCTACAAGTAAGGTTCTAATGAAAAAAAGATGACCCTTCTTGTGACGCAACACATTATTTGAGGAAGAAAGTTACATTTCTTTAAAGAGTCTTGCTTCACTGCTACAACAAAATTTCAGTTTTACTAACAGCCCAATAAAAGAATGACAACTCAAGAAAATAGCCAACTCTTCATGATCAAATAATAAAAAAATAAAATAAAAATTGATACACATAAGAATGAAGACCCAAAGTCTAGAAAAAAAATTAATTTTTCCATTGAGGTTAAACATTACACCCTCTGGTATCTCTCTACAGTCTGCACAAAAAACAAGATCACCTCTTCTTATAAGATATTGTCTTCTTGAGATAAACAAGAAATAACAAATCAGGATCTATCAAGCAAATGGAGATTAAATTCAGATTTAAATAAAAAATAAAGAGAACGTGAAGATAGGTGGTACACACCAGACACAATAGATCAAACTAATTAACAAAACTAAGAATGATAGAAATGTTTTCCACCAATTTCTCCCCATATTTTCCTATTTTATTTTCTTAATCATACATTTGACACCAAAAGAGCTAACTTCCAACATTTTTGGGTTTGGGATTGACATGAAGAACAGAGTTTTCAGACCCTCTTGGAAGAGGCTCTCAGGAGATCAGTTGACAGAGAAAAATATAAGGGAAAGCAAGGAGAAAATAAAGAAAGGTGAAGAAAATAGTATAATACTAAAGAAGTAGATAAAAGATAAGGATTGGACAATCACTTCCCTTATCTGTCAGCATTCTCTTCTCGGATGTAATGTACTTTTCTTGATAAAGATTGATGAAGATCCAGGGGTAGTTTGAAAGTCTCAAGTATTTTCCAGTTTCTACAGTCTTTTCATTTGAAATTTTGAATAGGACTCAGAGTTCTCATACAATCTCAAATGTAAGCTGTTTTCCAAGTGCTATGTGTCCATTAATTATAGAATTCTGCTCTTTAAAGTTTCATGGGCATGATTAAGGTCCTTGTTTGTTATTTAGTTGCAGGTATTCCTCCTATGGAAGCCAAAATAATGTCTCAGCAAATTAGGGATGGAAATTGCAAGTTTTAAATGTTCTTGAAATTTCCACATAATTCAGTTTTGGATAAAGCTACCAACATGAAATATAAAAATGTTAGGCAGATATATTTTAACCAAAATTTCAATATTCAAGGATTTTGGCAATTCATTTTTCCCAAAATTGTGGATATATTATTAAAATAATGTACAATCAATACTATAAATATAATCACAAATTTTCAAATAATATAAATACAATCAATACTTATTAAACCTTTTTTACTGAAATTCCAAATTTTCAAAAACAAAACATCACAACTAAAGGATCTAGCCTCTTTTCTTAAAGAGGTAAAGTAAAATTGTATTAATCAAAAGGAAAAAGTATATAAGTGTTCACTGTACAAGAGCTTCTATACAAATGAACACCCTTAAGCTCAAGGGCCATGCATTCCTCAAGGCAAGCCCAAATAAGTCCATACCAGGTCTTAAATTCTTAATCCCTATTAAAAAAAAAAAGAAAAAACTTTTATAACTTTAAGTGTCTTTTAAAAAATATCTTTTATTAGGATGACTGAATGACCAGCATTAGCAAACATCTTTCATTCATCCTAATCAAAAATATTATTAAAAGACACTTAAAGTTACAAAATATTAAGTATTAAAAAACAGAAAAAATGCAGAAAAAATTTTCAAAAAGGCGCACGCCTTGGCTGAAGCACAAGGCACACCAAGTGCATGCCTCTTTAAAGTGTTCTGCTCGGGACCTAGGTGAGGCGCATACCCTAAAATGCACCTTGCCTATGCACCTAGGCATGCCTTTTAAAACACTAGTAGGTCCATAAACTATGTACACCAAAATGGCCAAGTCCGTTTGCTACCAATGAAGTTTCGTCGTAATGGAGAAAACTGCTACTTGCTTGTCCAATAACTTGAAAGTGGAACTAATCCATACAAGCGCTACACCCACTGTTGTGTTTACTGCTAGAATATAAAGCTAGTCACACAGCTGAAAGCCCCACATGCTTATTATCATTGGGAAATCCACTTTGTGCAATTTAGTTTCCTACAACATTACGATATCCAATCTCTTCTCTTTGATGAAATCCCCTGGCTACTATTTGCCTTCTTCCCGATCCTAGTCTTCTTATGTTCCAGGAAACACTTTGATTCCCTCCATAATTAACGATGAGCTATCTACTTTTCCTTCCCACACTACCATCCCTCTCATTCAACCCCCAAGTTATCCTCAAAAGTTCCTTTTCTGTCTCCTGTTCTGTACCTTCTTCAATTCTCCAGAGAAACCAGTAAAGCCTTCATTTCTTCTTCCAAACCCTATATTGAAACTGCCAAAAATTCTGTGAAACTGAGCAACTTGGACATCATAGTTGTTCTTCTTCCACCTTTTCTTTTCTTCTTTTCCTATAACAAAAATAGGGGTTCAGCCCCTATGTTTTTTGAATTTTCTTTTTTTTCTTCTTTTTCTTCTCATAAATATGTTGACTTTCTAGACTTAAACATGAAGTTTTTAATTTTCTTATGAAAATTATGGATAGTTATTAAGGAAAGATGGTTATGGAACCTAGGGAACAACCCTAGGATATGTGCTTTTTACTTAAAAAAACCCATCGCCTAGGTGATTAGGCAGCAAGGCACCTCCCTGTCACCTAGGCTCGCCTTGGCACCTTGAAAACTATGTTGGACATGACCCAAGAGGACACCACATTATCTTGAACACGTTTCAGATGGACATCTCAAAGATTATTTTCCTTTGCCTGCCCTTCTTGACCCTGCTACTTTGGTAAATCATGGCTAGTGGTTCCAAGTTCACTTCAATCTGTAATTCAACTTGTCTTCCTACCTAGGAAACAGTTAATTGCCTTCCATCTCTTCTGATTCAACTATCACAATCGCCCTCTGCAAGTCTATCTCCTTTATCGTCATCGATGGAGTGGTCTCCACAAACTCTAGAAGCATGTTTTGCTCCTTAGTCAGAATTGAATATTCTTTATGAGTAGACAGGATAACCTTGGCTGGTGATCTCTCCTCCACCGGTGTTTCCTCCCCCACCTTATCACAGCTTTTTGAACTCTCTACCCCCCAAGAAGGCAGGTTGGTGTGGCCTACAAAAAATGGAAAATTGATGTGGCGATGTACTAGAGCAGCCGCATTGTGGACAATTTGGGAAGAAAGGAATGCAAGGATATTCAAGGAAAAAGAAAGAAGCATTCAGGCTGTTGAGGATTGTATCTTGACTAGGGCCATCCACTGGTTGAGAACTTTGGACTTCTTTCATACCTTTTCCTTTGATGATATTTGGAGAAACTGGATAGCGGTGGCTAACAGCCATACAAGGAAGGACAGGGAATCTGTAGTGTGGACCCCTACGCCTGAAGGATGGGTAAAGCTGAACTTCGATGGCAGAAGCCAAGGAAACCCAAGCCCATTGGGGATAGGAGGGGTGCTGAGAGACACAGAGAGGAACATATTAGCCTTGTTATCAGGCCCCATGGGAATAGGAAACTCTAATAGAGCTGAGATTTTAGCGGCGGTACAAGGTATTCAGATTGCAGAACAATTAGGAGTTCAGCACTTGGTAGTTGAAGGAGACTCTCAAATTGTTGTGGGATGGTTGAAAGACCCAGCTTCAGTATGTGGCAACACAGAGATTTATTAAGGAAAGTAAACTGGCTTACAAGAAATATGACTGTTACCTCTCTTTGGGTGGGAAGATCAGCAAACACCTTAGCGGATGGGTTAGATAAGCAGGGGGCTACAAGGAAGCAGTTATTTTGGGCTGCTTTATAATTTTATTTATGGTTAATTCTGTTTTACTTAGAAGTAATACTTTTCTGAAGAGGTAACAGCTCGTGCCTCTTCAGTGGTGTTATTTTCTGAATTAATAAATTTCTTCATTCATCAAAAAAAAAAATAAAAAGAAGGCAGGTTGGAGCTAGACAACGACAATGATCCTCCTCTTGTGACCTCCTTTTCTTTCCCTTGGATAGGAGAAAAGGATAGTCAGCCCTGTTTTCACCAATTCTTATTGGTCCTAGCCTTCTTGTTTGGGAACCAAAACCTAGGTCCACCTCCCCTTCCAAATGGACTTGCCCAAGCAAACCCCCTTGGTGAGAAAGCTCAGCATTGGGTCTGTTACTCAGGTCCAGCAAAGGGCTCTTAACCAAACCCAAAAGTGCCACAACCAGCTTATTAGTGAAAATTTCATCCGCCCCTTCAAGAGATTTCTCATTCAAAATTCAAAAAGGGCCAAGCTCTCTATTTTAAAATTCAAAACTTCCCTTGGTATTTTGGTCGTTTTGGGATTTGATAGTGTGACTTTGGAATCACCACGTCTTCCTTTCCTCTCCCTGCTCAACATACACCAGCCTCCTTCCTCTCCGGTAACTGCAATTTGACCGAAATCTTTACCTTTCAGAGCTTCTTGCATTTCAACCTAATGTGATGCTTCTTTCTCCATTTTCTTCTTAACCTCCTCGATTGACCATCCTACCAATCTTCTAAGAACAATCTCCTTATCCGCTAGTGTTGCTTCCCTAAAGTCATGGGGGATTGCTTGTTTCTCCATTTTGATCTCTAACTAAATTGTAACTACGTATAAGGCATCCCCATCCACTATATTCACCGTTGGGGAAAGAACCCTATCTAGTTCACCTTTATACAAACACACTCTATAGACCAACAGAAGTCAT